CGACAGCAAAAGTTATGCCTCTCCCACATATTTTGCAATGTTTGAGGCTATTCCACTGTATTATTTATCAAGATAATCCTTGCATGGATTGAGAGCAGCTTTTTGTGCTAGGCCCAGAGCTTCATCTGGTAGTAACTGTTCAGATTATCCTGTAGTCTTTCAGCCAAAGTCAGTCTTGGAGGGGGGAGGCAGTGCTGGGAGAGGAACCTCTTCTGCATGTCTGCAGCAGCTCCTGGGACAATCAATGTGAAATGCATGTTGCTTTTTGACCTTTGCTTGATTTAAGGTCTTATGCTTTGGAAGAACTGCCCCTGAATTTTTTCTGGGTTTGGGAGTTGAGGTTTTTTATGCTTTGTGTTGACCAAGGTTCAGCTGACAGAAAAGGTAGCAGAGAGCTTTGGTCCCCCCTCAGCTTTCCTTGCACATTGTCTGAAGGGCCATCGCAATCACCCTCAGAGAATTCTGTTTAACTGAACATCTGCCTTTATTGAGATTTTACAGAGTGATGTCTTTAGAATGTTCTTTTTTTTTCTTTTGTCAAATGCATAATATTGTTAAATACTTCCAGACCCATCTCAGTGGTATTGCAGCATTTAAGGATCACATATATACACTGAGCATCTTCCTTGGCTTGCCAAGAGTAACAGTGACACCCTGTGGCGAATTTAATAGAGGACTTGCACCGAATTTCCATTATTGTTTTCCTTCAAATTTGCCTCTGAATTTCTTACACCGTGGGGAGTATCACAAGAGGAATCCCTCCTCTACACAAAGGAGAGCTTCATCAATTTGTCCTGTGTCTCTCACTAGACGTCTCCATTATTGGAATACATGTCTAACGAGCATTTTAATTCTAAGATACAGAGAACGCACGCTGACCCTGATAGCTAAATACTTGAAGGTAGAGCAGGAAATTTAGAAGTTGAGAAAAGAAGAAAAGATTTCATTTCAGTTTAAATTGATGTTACAGGAGTATACTGGTGTTCGTTATCTTTCATACCATTTTTCTCTAACATGGAAACTGTCCAGTGAACTATGTCGGTATGTAATGACAAAATATCCACAATATAAAACTGTACTACATAAACAACTAGATGTTGAAGGTAGGATCATCCTTTTAACTTACTTGCATTGTTACCTTGGTTTGCTTAATGAGTCTAAATAACACAACTGCTCTGTAACTACTGACATAATTCTGTTTCCAGTTAAGTCCTTCACCGCACAGCACTATAGTTCTACTGTGTTATCACATGCTAATGTAAAAGGCATGTACCCCAGTTATAAAATTTATAATAAGTTTATCCTTTGACACTTGCTGTGTCATTCAGGCAACATAGCTGACTGAATACTATGGTCTGCACACTGCAAGTTGTTTAAGCCTCATGCATGCTAAATGGCTGACAAAAGAAAGTTTTTAAAACTTCATGAGAGGAACTGGCCTGCTCTGGGCTGTTTTTGGTTTTTGTTGGTGGTGTTTTTTTGTTTTCAGGGTTTTTTTAGGGATATAGGAAGGAGAAAAAAGTTTAAGAAATATTGGGCAAAGATTCCTGTGAAACTTCATCTGAATCTTCTGTAAAACACAGATTGCTTAAAAAAAATAATGGACATGCAGGGAAGAATGTAAAAAATTAGGTTTTGTGTTCTCTGTGCTTGAAATTTAAGCCCATTAGGTCTTGTCCTATCAAGAGTCCATTTAGGTTAGGTGTTTGGGTGGCGGAGTGGTGTTCCTTAAGTGTTGGAATAGACTGCATTATTCCGTGGTTTATTCTTGAAAGATTTTTCTAAGCAGGTTAGACAAGTGTTTATGACAAATATTTTAGGTAGGGTTGGCCCTATCTTGAAGCAGAGAGATGGAGCAGATGGCTTCTCAAGGCTCCTCCCAGTCCTTCGTTCTGTGGGTTTATGGTTACGTCAGTGTACTTTGTGTTTTAAATAGTATTTTGTGCATATTCAGTATTATACTTTCCCAAATACACTGAGTCTCACTCTGTCTGCATTGTGTCATCCAGAAAAATAGTGCCTCTTCTCACTACCTTTTTCCATTTGTGGGCTCTGGCAGACCTGTGTTTGGTGCCATACAGATAGTGACTCATAGCATGAGTACTTATGTTGAACAAAGAAAGGGCATTACTTCCACCATCAAAAGCCCTCTGTATCCCTGAAGGACTGACACACAGGAATGCCACTGGAGACCAGCATGGAAAGGAAAAATAAATGGGCAGCTCCACTTTCAAGCACAACTATTTCCTTCTATTTGGTTTTACAGGATCTCTGCAGGTCAGTTTTCAGAATCAGTTTCCGCTTTGCAAAATCAAGCTTTTGTAGACCATAGTGTCTATAATACTGTCCTCCTGGCTTCATAGTTATTCCTCTGGGGTCATGCTGTTTCTGAGGAGAGGATTTTGCCATACAGCTTTAAACGATTGAGAGATACAAGGACTCATCTCTGTTGAAGAACTCAGCTGGTACTTACCAGATGTGAGCACTCCCTGACAGACTATACAGACAAGACATTGTTGACCTATTTTGTGCAGAGAACTTAAAAAAAAAAAAAAGTAAGTAACTGAAGAGAAAGCAAACCAGAAGAATTTATTTCTCCAATTCTTTGAGCAGAGTAAAATGTAGCAGGCAAGTAGGGAACATGAATTGTGACAAGTCAATTAATGTGCCCATCCTTGTGGGTTCTGTGTTTTGTATCAAATATATTATTGTTTGTAACTTTCAGCTCTTTCCGAAATTGTCAGACCTGTTCTGTACTTCATCAGCAGGTAGCTACTCTTCCTTGCCTTTGCCCATGCAGCTACTGTTCCATCGCTCCACTCTTCCAACTTACTCTTTTTCTCTGTTACTTCTCAGATTTTTCAATCTTTCTTCATATTGCTTTCTTCTATTCTGGCTTTTCCTCAATTTTTCTGCAGAACCCTCTTGGTCTGGAATATGTGACTTTGTTTTGCAACTGACCAGTTAGAGCACTCTGTGAAAAGGATGGGCAATGGGCAGGCTACACTTGTGTGTGTCTGTGTGTACATCTAGGCCTAGCTCACCGTTTCTGTCTGTCTCTTTCCAGCATACAAGTGCCCGTAACCTGTGCCTCCCACCACATAGCACTGTAGTAGTTTGCAGGCACTGCTTGGCAGTAGGTCACATTTCAATATTGTTTTATTTGTGTTTTTAGTTATTTGTTTTAGCTGAGATTTAGGAAAAAATACTTTCAAAACAGCAAAAGTATAATTTAATTGGGTTTTGGGTGTTGTTTTATATCTGGATGAATCACACGTGATTTTTACAAGAGAAACAAGTTATATAGGACTTGAATAAAATGTTTCTCTGATTCCTTGTATGCTGTTTATATCATACCAGATTCTCTCAGGTACAGGCTTCCAATTACAGAAGAAAAGAATCCTTGGGTTTTTGTTCTGTCTCTTTTTGCTTCTTTCTTTGTTCTTTTCCTGTTTTATAAAACACCAGTGATAGCTTTTCCACTGCACATGGCTAAATATCTAAGAATAGATAAGAATACAGACATGAAGAAAGAATGATTTTCTTAAGACAATTATTAAGAAATATCTGCAAGCATTTCATTGTCTCCCTTTAATGAACTGGGCTTTCCCCTTAGCTGCCATTGTAAATATATTTCACAGCACATGGATGATACAAAACAGGAATAACGGAGGCAGTTTTGTTATCGGAGAGCACTGGAAGCCAGAGTTGTGAAAACTTCATGTATCTTTGATACATTAAATTACTTTCAACTATATAGGAAGTGAATATAAACTTAGGTGCTAATCCTGTAAGGATGCATGCGTTTTCTTGATTTTTACACACTTCACTGTCCTACTGAAGTTAGTGAGTTTAAGTTGTTGGAGCAATTTTTTAAATTTTTTTTTAATTTTTTTTTTTTTTAAATATGGTGACTCTGGGGGCCAAACCTTCTTTCATGGAAGTGATGAGAAATTGGCTGCTAATTTTTCCAAATAGGAATATGGTTTTGCAATACTGGCTGAAAAAAAGGTCCATTAAAGATGGTGCAGAGACGTCCTATTTGTTTATGTTAACAGTAATGCTTGTGTAAATTAATAGTATTTTTGTATATGAATTACTGTTAACAGTGTAAATTAATAGGATACTGGGTGAAGTCTTTTATTCTTCATGAGTGCTTAATCCTGCATGACTTACAAACATGAGGAGCAATATCAAGCTATGAATGAAGATATGAAATCAACATCTATGTTTTTTCCTGTCTCAGTTAATACGCCATATGGGTGCTGATTTTCATTATATAATCTGTTCTGGGAATGGAAATAAACACCATTATTATTTGGAAATATTGTGAATGGAATTAGCAATTTGATTCTACTTAATTATTTATGTCTACTTAAATTTGAAGAATCAGTTGTTTTACATCAACAAAAATTTCTAAGCAGATCATAAACTCATTTTATTTTACATTACATTCTCCAGACTATGTTAGATTATCACCTTCTCTTTTGTTTTCAAACCTTTTGAAGTTTTTACCAATATAATGAAACAAGTCACAGAAACACATGCCCAGTTATAAAATACTGTATATACATCTTCTACCTTGTCTCAACTCCACTTGGTTATTAATTTAAAAAGGTCACAATACTTAAGACCACGTGAGTTAAGTTTCTTACGTTGTTCATGAATCATCTTTAGTCTACAACTACATTATATAACACTGCTTAGTTTACACACACACACCAGAGGATATTTGCAAAACTAAACAAAGATTTTCTGATGGTATCTAGGTTTTGAAAATTGGTCTGTTTAGTGCCAATTCTGTCTCCCCAGGAAGTCAATAGGATAGAAAGTCACTGTAAAAATGTCTGTTGACTTCAATTAAGTAATTTGTATCAAGGTGGAGAACTTTGCCAAACTGTTATTAAACAAATTATATCAACTTGTTGGTTGGGTTTTTTTTGTAAAAAGGGGCGGGGAAGCAGGCAGGCAGGCATGTACGTGCCTATGTATATATGTGTATATATAAAGCATATACCTGCCTGATCAAACCTTGAAAACTGGGGAGTACTGGAATGCCTTTAGCAAATTAGGTGCCAGCTTCACCAATATATTACTCCAGTTTTATGCAGTGCTTAATCTCCTGAGAGCAACTAGAGTAGTGCAGTGGCAAATCAGTACCTCGGCCCTAAAAGCTTGTTGTCAGTTGATCTATGAAGAGCTTGCATTTACCACTTTCAGTAAGCATACGGACCTGTGCAACAGCAGCATGTCATTTGGTACATGCATTTAATTTGAATTACAGACTGGAACAAGATTATAGTCTGCCTGTTTAGCCAGGTAAATATTAATCTCTCAGACAAATTCTTGGAGTCATGGTCCAGCCTCTCCCCATGTTGGAATCTCCTGCTTCATTTGGTGGATCTGCTTCTGTAGTTCGTCTCTGTCCAGCTTCATTTTCGCTTCTAGAACTTGCCGTAGAGACCCAATGCTCTCATAGATAGCTGCAAATCCTAATTGCAGGTGAAAATTAAATTAGTTCATAAACAAAAGCAAGAGTATCGCATAATTACTATCAGAATGCGCTTCCTACCATAACACTTTACACTACCATAACACTGCTTTACACTAGGAAGATAGCTAAAGTTCTGAAGAAAAATAGGACTGTAATTGTGTGCTGATGGCAAAAATGCCCCCAATCTCAGCCAAGCTATGCCTATGTATGCTCTGGGGAGAGCACTTCTAAGCTAATAAGATGTCACCTCTTGTTGCTGTGAATTTCACCCGTAGTGAAAATCCTTTTTAATGCCACAGGTGCGGCCATTACATCTGGCCCAAAAGTCTTTAAAGTACTTTGATACAAGCAAAGGCATTTTGCATATTACTATAGGTCGATCATTGTTACCACAATGCAGAATGAAGAACTTGATAACTATGGTCCTACCAGCATTAACTTCAGCTTTCATTTCTTTTATATCTTCATTTATCTCATTTTGAAGTTTGCCAATGCGAATATTTATCTTTTCTTCAGTCTGTTTTGCTTCATGTGCTTCCATGGTTATCTTCTGTATTTCTTCTATTTTGTCAATTTTCTCTACCATTTGGTTGAATTTCATCTCTATAGCTCTTTCACTCATTTCCTGGAGCCGGGAAAAAGAATTTTCATTATTTATTCTGCATATGAAAGTACAGTGGTCTTTCCTAAATATGCAATAGATACTGATTAATCATCTTTTATGTGGAATTCAAAGGTGTAAGGAATGATAATTTTTTATAAAATGGTTTAAACTGACTTGATTACTGTAGGCTAAAATACTGATCTATTTTGAAGTGATTTATTTGAAGACTCAGGCTGTGGGGATGTTATACCTGACATCAGTGAAAAGAGTTATACAAATATTGAGGAGGTCTGAAAATATCACTCAAATAATATCTCAATTACATCATCTTAGTTATTAATAATGCTTTTGAATACTTCCTGAGAAGTATTATTAGGACATTTTAATGAAACTTACAGTGTTTTCCTTTAAAGTCAATGAGAGTTGGTCAATTTTTTGCACAAGCTCTTTTTCAATCCTTTCATGTTCCTGTTCCAACCAGCTACGTGCAGACAAAATCTGGCTGCTGAGTTCCTCAGTAGCATTTTTTAATCTAAGAGCATAATAGAAATTAGCAGATACAAAAGAGCAAAACTTTTGGTCATTGAGCAGTGACTTTTTTATGGACATGTTCATAAAAAAAAAAGACAATTTAATATGTTCTTGACACCATATTAAGGTGAATCTTTGAACTTTAAGGCTACTAAACTGGATAAGGTAACATTGTTTTAGAAAATAAAGATGAAAGCACAAAAATAGCAGTTATTTATACAAAACACGTCACAACATTTTGAGGCATAGGAGGATGCAAATTCTTTGCAGCATTGAAAACAGAATACGGTCATCCATTCAGATTATAATCTTTGTGTCCATAGATCTTAAATCTGAACAAATATTTGGTAACTGTTTATTTTAGTGGCAATGCTGGTTCATATAGCCCTACTTATGTTGTTGCCTATACCCACCTCAAGTTTACACCAACCAATTTTGCCAGTGAAACTGTTTCTTTAGACAGTCTTTTTTCCAGTGAATATTTGAGATCTGGTTCTATTCTTTCTTCTGGTTTGCAAACAGTTTTACTGACGTAACTGATGGGATTGCATGAGGACGGCAATAAGAAGTAAGGATGTGGAAGGCTTAAGCCAGGGCTGCCACCAAGTGAAATGCCTGGAGAGGAGTTGATATCTGAATTGAATATATCCTTGTATAATGTCTAGTAGTAGCACAGTAGCTTTTCTTTAATAATTTAGGTAATTGAGTTACATATTCATATTTGAAGCCAATTTAAAGCAGTAACACTTTGTGAATGCTGCACCTTGCTTCCTGGTTGCTCGAGTTGAACTTTTTGCCCTGCTCTTGGCAGCCACCTCCAGCATTCGTTGCTTCGTACGGTTCTTGCAAAAAGGTACCAGGCCACTTTTACAAAAATCCTTAGTTCTGTTCTTTAATACAAGTTCTGCCTGAATACTTAACTAGGGACTTCATGGGCTTTTCAAAATTGCCTAATCACATTAGGGGCAGAATTCTTGTTGAAAGAGAGTCCCACTTGACAGACCATTGTGCTTTTGTAGTATCTGTTGAGCACACGTACTTATTTAAACAGGTTCATACTTTTGTAGACCTGAAAATTACAACAGTCAAACTTGGAAAATTGAGGCCCTGTCTTCCAAAGGCGCATGGCAGCTGCATGGTTTCCCGGGCACTCACTCACTTCATATCCAGAAGGTGGAGCTGTTGGTTGCTGTCTTTGTAGGCAATCTTCAGCTTTGCCTCTTGTTGCATTATTGATTGCTCTACTCTGCTCAGAAGATGAGAAATCTGAAACAAAATTCAGAATTTACTATTTTTCAACAGCATTTCATCACAGTCTCATTTGGGATATTTTCATAACAGTAGAGGAGATCTTAAAGAAGGGCTGTTTTTTCTGACATTTCAAAAAAAAATCCTGAATTTGCACATTTTACTTTATCATGAAAAATATACTATCTCGCAAGATGAAAGTAGCAACGTTGTGAAAAATGTAATTTTTCAGCCATAAATTATTTGAACAGTCTTGCCTTGAAAGGGCCTGCCTGCTCTGCCCCCTTGAGACGGCTGAATTTACACGATCCATACGTCTCCAGGTTGCCACATAAGCAGAGTAAACGAATGGCAAAGCACTCCACCAATACTGACTGATATTCTTCATCGTTTCATGTATAATGGCTACTGCAGTGACAAAAGTGTTGGATTTAACTGGGGATAGGTCATTACTAACAGAAAATATTTCTCACCAAAACAATCATCCCAGTTTTACATGACATTTACAAACTGTTCTGTTTTACAAGATGCATGACAATAAGCTCCTAGCATGCTGGCATGCTAATATACTATATACTGAGTCTTCTGAGAAAGGTAAAGTGGATTTTAACCATTTACCTACCGCAAAATGAAGATGTAAAATACTTTTGTTGCCCAAGAAAATGGGAAGGCCTTGAGATGTAGATACGAAGAATCCTTTTCCTTAATGTCATAAGTCTCTGCTTGTATCTAGTGCTCACTTCCATTCTCATACCCAATGGAAGAGAAACCTGACGGACAGATTAATGGATTCACAGAACCCAAAACCAGTTTTGTTTTGCAGACCTTAAAAAATTGTGTTCAAATACCTATAAAATCATCCTGGGAAGGCCAAACATACAGGGAGAGACACTGATGCTTGCATTGTTGTGGTAGTTTTGTAGACCATCCATGTCATGTTCACATTCCAACCTCAAGAAGCCATTCAGGCCAGTAATCACTGGCTTTCGTTCATTCCTGGAGTCCCTTCAGGTGCCTTTAAATACTAGCCCCTTCTACACAGCATGCTGAAGGCAGCAAATCAAGGACATTTTTTCAGTCAGACCAGTACAGTAATGCAGCTAGGTACCAATGTTCAATCTAATGAGGACTGTGAGCAGATACACCTCTCCATTTGTAAATCTGTGACCTTCCAGGATCATAATTAACAGTAATGGAGTCTGTGTGAATTAGACTATAACTCTTACCCATACATGGATCACCTTGGTCTAAATGCCATACCTGTATTTCCGCCTCTTTAATTTTAGATTCTAAGATCAGCTTGGAGGTATGTTGGTCTTTAGTTAGGCTCTGAAGTCTTTCATATGTAATTTTGTGCTCTGCAGACAGTCTGGCTAAGCCAGCATCACACCTGTTGGAATAAATAAATACCAAAGCAACAGCTGAATAGAATATAAGGTCCAGGCTTTTTAAATTATCCATTTTAGACTGGGCATTTCTGTGAAATTTCTGGCTGTCTAGCAAAACAATGTCTTATGAGACTGTAAGCATGGTGATATATCTCATAGTATTCAGCAAGTTGCCCCCAAATGGGACTAGAAGTCAAATAGTCTGACATAAACGCTCCTGTCTTCTTGGCACTGACATAATATGTGTAGACTGTGTTGTTATCAGTCAGGGAAATCACATTAGAAATGCAAAGATGCAGAATTTCAATACCTTGTGGTTTTGTCATACTCCAAAAGATATCTGTTAAGGGGTGTATGATTTCCCGTACGTGATTAGAAGCCTAAATAATTGAGGACCATTTTTTCATTATTGTAGCTGTATTCCTCTGAGTTTTACATTTTTTATTTTTATTTGTGAAATAGTAGTATACAATTAATATGTGTAGTAAACAATGTGGGGCAAATTTTATAGTTACTAGTCTTTATGTAGGTAAAACTGTCACTGAAAGCAATGGCAATTTTGTCTTACAAAAGACTATGAAATGCAGCCCTGGAACATAATAATTATTGTTTCCTTTCTTCATATTAGAACGTTTCTTGATGCTGTAATATTTTCAGGATAAACGTGCTACAGAACGTGTGCACTTTCTACCACATTTCAAAGATACCTTGGTCAGGTGGATTTCATCTACAGAAATACAACAAGGACATTAACTGAGCTGTAAAAATCTAAGTACTGTCATTTCAGGAGTAAGACCTCTGAAGTACGAGTCATGTATATTTTTTTGCTAAGGGAAATATGTAATCGGCAATGTTACCAAATTTGATCTATGAAACTGATAGAGAACAGACAGCAGTTACAATTTGAGGGAGAAAAAGGCTGTAAAATGGAACAAGCTAAGGCATGTTAAGTCATTATAACCAATGACACATTTTAACCTCTTTTTAGTCACATTTCAGTTTGAAGGCTTTCATTGCACCATGCATTTTCATCACCTCAGTTACAGTAACTACCATTATCATTAAACATGAAGGGAAAGTAACAGCTAAAATGACAAATGGAGCATCTGCTTAGTATTACGGTACAATTTCAATATGAAAATAATCAGTAATGCAAAATAGCACATAGAAATTATAACACTTGTGGGAATTAATTTAGAGTTTAGCAGTTCAGCATTGTGAGACCGATTAGTAGCATCTGTAGGAAGACCAGCTAAGGTTTACACAGCAGTGAACCATACTTGTAGGTCTTACGACCAGGCTGTTTCTATAGAAAGACAAGAGAAGCCAAATCTCTTCCATGTTGTTACAATCCGAGAGAATCAGAGAAATGAAATCATCTTGCATCTAGTCACCAAAAGCCTGGGTAATTTAATCACGCTGTCTATATAAATGAAGCCAGTGGACTATGGCTATAAAGACAGAAGTTGAAAACAACTTTCAAGATTTGGTCATATTAAAAGCATAAGGAAAGAAATGAGAAATAGATTAAGATGTCTAGGAAGATTACTCAAAAAAATGGTTAGCTTTGTTTCTCTGAGGCATGACAGAAAATATAAAAAGCAACAGCTTTGAAACTACTGTAGCCAGTGTAAACAGCAGGCATCTGTAATTGTTTTTAAGGCAAATTAGTGTTTTGGGTTTAATCACAGTGGGCATTGAACTCAGTTATGTGATCAAAGGGGTCATATAGTTGCATGGTAACTGAAACATTAAAATTCTGACTATGTTAATTTAGTGTCAGCCTGATATGTATTAATCAGATAATTTCATTTTTCTACAGGGATACTGTAATTGGTACCTTTTTAAACAAAGATGGAATAAAGATTAAATTCCATTGTCTGTGGTTATGGAATGTTTATCCTGCTATGCGGTTTTTTGTTTTTAAAACAATATTTCATATATTGAAGTGGTCAAAGAGAAGTCTCTGTGCGATATATATGTACACACTCACAAACACCTGATTAGTTTTGACCTGGAAGAAAATATTAGTGTGCTGCAGACAAAGAATGAATATTAGTTTTGTGAGTTATATACATTTTCAGTTAAAAACTTAGAACAATTAAACAACTTCAGTCCATGCTTCCACTAGCTTTCAAGTGGGGGAGGGGAGGCAATAATAAGATGAACACATGGAAAACCATGAGCTTTCTAACACTTTTGATTCAGGTTTCTACTGCAGGGTGGGTCAGAAGAAAACAAGCAAGCTAAACAAAAGGGCACATTATAGTTTGGAATTTTTCATGTTTAAAAAAAAAAGAGAGAGGAAAAAAAAACCCGGCACACTACAATGCCCACTGAATTTCCCATACCTCTGCAAGTTCTGCTTTGATACTTCATTATATATTCATGTTAAAATGACAATAGAGTTCTTAAAAATAGAACTAAATGTTTCTGAACACTGGATTTAAGTTCCTGGGTAATTTAATCACGCTGTCTATATAAATGAAGCCAGTGGACTATGGCTATAAAGACAGAAGTTGAAAACAACTTTCAAGATTTGGTCATATTAAAAGCACAAGGAAAGAAATGAGAAATAGATTAAGATGTCTAGGAAGATTACTAGTTTAAAAATATAAGAGCTGTATATACAACAATTTTTTACAAAGAAATCCACAATAAATAATTCTGTGTCTTCATGTCTGAAATGCTGAAGCTGGCCTTACAAACAACCCAGTGCAGTTTTTCATGTGCAGTTGCACACATGCACTGTTGAAATTTGGGGCAAAGATGCACTAGAATATGTTTGGTTTACTACTGTTTGATTTTGGAGGAAATACTCTGAAAGTTCTGATTGCCAAGCTGTGTACTTACGTGAAATTAGTAAGTGAAGAATAAATTGAGAGGTTTCATAGTGCCAAGTATTATTCTCAATTTCAGAATGCAGTATAATTCTAGAAACCAGTAATGTTTAATATAAAGAGTGAAATTATCAAACAACTGCCTTCCACGTTGTAAGCTGCAAAAGCGGTAGTTATTTTTCTGGCACACTGAAGAGTGTTTTTGTTATCTTTGATCTCTAAGAAATCAAAACACAATGGTTGCTCTATTCAGTATCATCAGGGACTAGATAAAGCTGAGGACTACACTGATACTCCGCAGCAGTATGCTATATAAATACGCTGTAATGGTAAATATGGATTTTTAATGTTCCTGTTTTATTATACAAGTGTTTCAGTGAAAAACACGTAGCTGAAGAACAAGTAGTGAAAAGCAAGTTGATAACGTCCAGAGTATCCACTGGGCAAGAACAGCAGAGCTGGTAGATTCTGAATAGCCTGGATCAGGGAGCCCAGATCAGTCCTCACTCTGTGCATCTCCTACACAGCAAGTAGCCAGAGTGCAGCAGATGTGTTGTGCTTATGAAGTTCATAAATGCAGTGCATCCCAGATACATCAGACTCATTTTCTGTGCAGTGTAGGAAAATCTGCCTACATGTAATGAGTTCAGGGTGTCTGAAATGAATCAGATCTACAATGTATATAAAAAGTTATGTATATATGCAAAGTAGGCCCAATTTGAACATGCATAGTTGCCATTTCTCTGGATGTTTCAGCTATCAGGAAGCTTCTGGAGACAGCTACTGCTATGGTTCTGACCAGGCTGCTGTATTTAAACTTTCCAGACAAATGATCATAGTCTACAAGTTATCCTGTAAATAAATGATAAGGCACTACTCATGAGTTTTATGATCTAATATCACTAGAAATAGAATTGGTAAATCTGTGTTATATAAAATTGCCAACATCAGGGACAGGAGGCTGGAGTAATGGATCTATTGGTATCTACCTAATGTGTCACTGAATTTAATACAGCTAATATTTTCCTTAAAATTAATAACAATAATGCTGATTCTTAGGAAAATGTGCAGCATCATTCACAGTGAACACTGTAATGATGCTTTACAATTTCATCAATAAATTATGCTTAATGAGAAACGGCCCTGAGACATGAGCCGTAACATGTATTCAGTCTTCTGCTGCTGCTGGGGATATAAGTTGATTCTGTGATGCAGGTGAGGTCAACCGTGAGGCCTGTCCAAATCTCACCCCCCCAGAGCTGTGGGTAGCGTGGTTTTGGAGCTGTGCTTCAGAACTGCAAGTGCATGTAGAGATCCCTGTTCTCATCATTAAATGCAGCAACCCTCAAGAAATAATGAGACAGTTGTTGTTCGATGATATACTGACATGTTACAGAACGGTTGGTGTTGGGAAATAAACACCACTCTCTCCAATATTGAAGTTGAATAGGATGTTTAGTTTGCATGTAATTACTGGAACTGAAATTTGGCCAGAATCCTGAGACTGACACTGAAATTATTACATGACCAAAAGGTTCAGACTCAAATGATTTACTATCATGCAGCATATATAAACTGATTCATACTGATTGTCTGTCTGCACACTTCTAGCCTAGAGCAAACGTGGTGTACTTGGAGTTAAATTAGCCTACTGTCACTACAGCCTGAGCCATACATAGTACCTTGACTGTGGCCGGGAGCTGACCCAGAGTAAGTTGGTCACCCACAGTAACTTGATCATGTTTCTAAGGTTTCACTCTTTGAACTCATCTGAAAGCTAGCAGGACTAGATGTAAAAGTAAAATTACACTAGGTGAGTTCAGCTTATTTTATATAAGGAGCATTGGCTAGAGTAATCGGAAAGCGTTTATCCCAGGGAAAGTTTCTGCCAAGTATCCATACAGTGCCAACAGCATAACAAATTGCCAGCTTGACCATGATCTGCAGATATTACTATAATCGTTATTCACAGGAACACTGATTTTCAAAGTAGAATAAGTCTGTAAATAAAGGCAGATAGCTTTCTTCTATGGAACACTGCTTTAACTTGATATCTGATAAAGGGAAGCTTATTTTCTTATTCAGGGAAAATTTTTATATAGAGAGCATAATGTTGGCTAGAAGGTAACAGTTAAAAGACAGCAAACTCATTCTCTTATGGTAATGAATACAAATATCCAACATTCATTTCACCATCTGACATAAGGCAGATGATTGGTATAATCCCATACAACTATCAGATAAATTGCCACCCAGGCACAGTACAAGGGCATTGCCCTAAGTAAGTAAAGGAAGAAATCCTGGCACAGACTGTGCTAGTGCACCACCGATCCCCGTACCAAGTACTCAGGACAGGCAAGGGCCCCATTGTGAAGCTCAGGCTGGCATGTGTTTATTCACTTGAGTTCTGTTACTGAAAGCAAAGTTACTATATTTTGCTTCACAAGGTGTCAGTAACTGTGTTGCTCCAAATACGGACCTCTCTCAGGATGTAGTATGATGTCAAAGTGGACTTTTTATATAAAGAAGCAGGAAGATCTAAGCATGTAAATTTGTCAGGGATTTCTCAGTGAGATAGATATATATGTGTGTGTGTGTGTGTATATCTCTCTCTCTCTAGATTTTTCAATCAGTTTTCTGATTTGACAAAATAAACTTGTCTAGTTCTTTCCTGTTTGCTAAAGGGTAACAACAACAACAAAAAAAGAGTATGTAAAACCTCTCTAAAGTATTCTTTACAAAATGGGCTGTGAAAGTTACAGTGGAAACTTCAAACAATCAAATAATCTATGAGAAAGCTTTAGTTCAAGGAGAATACTCCCCTGATTATTTTTGTAGGCTGTTGCAGGTTATCACTAAATCAGCTGAAGTATAAGAAAGAAGAATAAAAATTATCTGTACAATATAGACAATAGGTCAAATTCAGGACAAGTATAATTCTACCAAAGTTATTAGCCAAGCTACTTTAGGCCACATTAGGTCCTTTTTCTATAGCTGTACATATCCTCTGTCTTTTATGTTCAACTTTACAGACACTTAGATAACGTTGTTGTACTGGGGTTTGTAAATGTGTCATTGATGGCACAACCTGACATCTGTGTAGTTGCACAATTGTAATCTGGAGTTTCAAGTAGCCTGTAAAACCTCTATTATTTTATAGTTTTCTGTTCCTTACGTGTCAGGTAGCCTATGTAGTTTTTAATATGGCTAACCAATAACTGAATGCACAGATTTTTACTTCTAAAATATATGCAAAAATGTGCAACTATTCTGTTCTTTACAAGTGCAGATTGTTCCATGCTGCCTTTATAATTGTGCTAATTAATTTGTTTCAAAGATAGACCAGTCTAACCATAGTACTTTAAAAAGCTGAACCAAATCCAAATTCCTAAGGAATTTGAAGTAATTTATTAAAAACTAATTTCAGGAATTTCAGGAATTAAGAATGATATTGTTAAGTTTAATATGTAACACTGGAATGCAAAGGATTATTATTCATTTTCTTGAAAACACCGAGCAAAATTATCCTGGGAATTTTGCCAAAGTTGAATTCAACCCATTATCATTAACATTCATACTTCAAGATTAAAACAACATTAGCAAGTCCCCAAAATATACTTCCATGTTGACTTTTACCTTGCAACTCTTCCCCGAAGATCTCCTAAACCAGAAAGCTGCCGCATTTCCAGACTCTTCAGGGTAGAATTTGTTCCATAGCTGAGATTGTCTCTGACACGTATCTGTTCCTGCAGCATCTACAAAGCATTCATATGCAAATATAAACTCAGTATGTCACATTTAATATACACTTAAAATGTCACTTATTATCTTTCATTATTTCAGTAACATCAGATACCATTTTATTATTACTTTATTAAAAGCTTTGTCTTGTATCGTACTAAACCAGATACCTTTTAGGTCATTTATTTCTTATTCTTAGTGTCCAATCTGCACATAAATACCGTAATATGTATAAAGTATAACTTGACAATGGAATGGAGACTTAAATATGAGGTTTTATCTTTTTTGTTTTCCCCACCACACCCCTGTTGCTCATTGCAGCAGAGGTCAGACATGAAGTCACGTATCTGCATATGATTAGGTCATAAAAATGAGTAGTTGGGTTTGGCTATTTGATGTTGTCAGTAAGTTGGAAGTGAAGGAAAGTTTGTTACAGAGCTAATGCATTTTCTAGTGTTTATACAGCACAACCTTTGGACTGAAGTTGAGCTGGCTGTTAGTGTCGCATTAATTCATTTTTTCAAGGTTTTCCAGTGCAGCTTTTGAAAGCAAGCTTATTAGTACCACAAAGGTTTCTGTGTTTATATGCTAATGTCCTGTGCTATTTTCGTAGCCACTGAAAGAATTATGTAATTTGCAAACAGTTTTTCAAGTTATAAAAACAATTTACAAGCTTACAGGATCTTCAGACCTTGCCTGACCTTTACTTATCCTGTGGTAAACTTTCTTATTAAATTAGAAGGAATAAGTAGCTGTGATGGCATTAGTCCTGTGAAAAATTCTTAACATACCTCAATGTCCCGATTAAGCTGCCTCACTATTGCCGTTATGTTTCGGATATGTTCTTCCAAGAGTTGCCTAGCCAACCGGTCACCCCCCCCTTTGTTCTGCATTCTGTGCAGAGTGGAAACAATGTCCTCCTTAATGCGAAAAGCGTGTTCCACAAGAGCCGCCGTTGTTTTCTCATGGCTTAGGATTCTGTCTTCCAGCTGATCCACCAGGCTTGCAGATGCCAACGGGACCGCTGTCAATGCCTGGCTATGCAGCGGTATGTTTCGAACCCGTCTAGTGAAGAAGAATATCCAGATATTGTTAAGTTCTCACACAAAACTCTACAATGTCTTTCCACTGGAGACAGTGTGATACTATCTTAGTAGCAATACTGGGGCGAAGCACCAAAATACTCCCCGAGAGAGGGCCCACTGCTACAAATCAGTGAGTGCTGTGTTGGCTACCGTGTGTACCTTGTACAAAGGCAGGTCAGGCTCTTTTTCCTGCTCTTTAAGGAAGCTTACAAAAGCATAGGATCTTAAGAAAAGGACATTAGCGTTATAAAAGTAGTTACAATTCAGGACTATAATTTGATTAAGAATCCAAATTCAAAGCCCTCTTACTGAGTTTCAAAAGCGATGCTATTTGTCTCTACAGTTTTCAGGCTTAATCAAAGCAGTAACTGTAGAAGGTAGATGCTGCAAATGAAATGGAAACAGACCAAAATTAAAAAGGAGTAGCTTGTGTCCGTTCCTTTTTTCAGTCTCTATAGCTATCCTGTAATACCATACAGAAGCTTGTTCCCCTATGAACTGGACAGGAGCATATGTAGGTGTAGAAACTGAGAAGAGACCAAAATTATGACAAGCTTCTCATAGTCTTAGAAGTCAGATTTTCCCCCCAAATAGCTTACATTTGGGTACCTTGAATAATTGTCTAGACTTTTCAAGAGAGCTCTGCACTGCATAGCTTCCATGGAAAGCAATGGAGCTTATGGGTGCTCCAAGTAAAAAAAAACTAGACTGCTAATGCATGCAATCTTTTCCTGCTGCTATATTCTGTAAAGAATGAAGAACATTTTCAGAAGCATAAGTGGAAGATACTAGTTCAACCCCACTTTGAAAGAGGAGATCTTTTTCTTGGAACTCTGTTATTTAGTGTGTATTCTCCATGTTTTTTCCTGTTAATGAGCCAAATTAACAGTTTACTTTCACCATGATGATATTGATAGAGAAATGTATGAGGACATTAACAAAGGTCACTTCTGGCTCTGAGTTTTCACACTTATTCCATGCTCTTAAAAGAGTGGCTAAAGTATAGTATTCTTGGACTTATACTCAGTTACAGTTTAAGCTATTTTTGGGGAAGGGTTAAGTAAAAGCTGAGTAAGGAAGTGTGATTTGGGCCATGATTTGAATGAGTCTACAGTATTTCACTTTGCTTTGCATACTAATGCCAAAGTCCCAAGTCACAGCATTACTATATATAGGGAATTGAGAGACACGTAATACTCTGCAATATGAAGATTTTATTTTTTACATTCCAAACTGTACCTTTCAGAAGGGGCAAGAGTTGGGAAGATTGGGCTTCGCTGGGCCATTTTCTGGTCAATAATTTATGTCTGTTGAAAAAGTACACATTGAATTATTTAATAGTTTATATCTGGCACTGAAATGACTTAATGCTTCTGCTTTAAGTGAATCTTTAAGTAAAGTTTAAGATTATGCTGACGGCTCTGATCTTGGCGTTCAAATATTGCTTATGAAGTAAATGCAAATAAAAATCAATACAAAAAAACCCAAAAGAATGAAAACTAAAAACTGCTAAGAAGCTTTTTATAGTGAAAACGATACTCTTGGAAAAGGCAAGGTTGACAGCCTTGAAACTGAAGTCTGCTGTTGACCCACAGAACTGGTTTGGCAGGACAAAGGCAAACAAACTTCTTGTCCCCAATCTGTCTACTGGTCTCAGACATCATCAATCGATGAATAAAAAGTAAGATCTACAGGATTATCACAAAGCTTAAGAAAGTATTGGCTAGAGAATGAAATAAAAATATTTAATGGCAGCAGATTATGAGGGGAAAGGTGTTTTTCAGGTAAAAGCATTGGCAGTCAGAAACCTAAATAAAATGTGTTAGACATCAGCATAGTTTAGCAAAACCGAGTCTTTCATTAATTTGTCTTCAAATCTAAATGACCACACTTTATGTTGTAAGTAAATTCTTCTGTGGTAAGAATATAGATTCTGTTCTTAATTTTTAGACATAGCCAGCCAGACTGTGACAGACGTTGCAGCAGGGTAGGTTTGTTAAATTGCTTCAGAAAGACATTTTAGATATCTTACTGTAAGTGAGACCAGTACCTAGCTCAGTAGCTTTGTCTGCCGACAGAAATTAAATTAATGAAAAAGGTGGTAGCCTTAATCAAACCCAGCTATTCCACCCTATATAGAACAAATAAACATTTTTAACTATAAAGAGAATGAGCATGGCCTGAGCCTGAATTCCCTGGGAACTTAAAATCCTCACTGAAAACTAAAGGCTGATGTATGAAAAGAATTTTGCAATTGCTGATGAAATGTGGTGCAATATGCTGTACAAACAGAAAGAGAAAAATAGGGTTATTGAAACACAATATTCAGGTATAGATTGTAAAGAAGTGATAGGACTATCCTCTGAGATCTCAAAATGCAAAGCATGTCTGTGCTTTAGAAACGTATGAAAGCACTGCCTAAAAGCAGAGAGCAAACATTGTCACAGTGTATGTGTTCTATTTATAGCACAGTGCTTCAGAAACTACAAATTAGAAAAAAAATAGTTTTAAGAGAAGCTGGGTTGCTGAGCAGCAATGACACTAGACTGGAATTCAGAAGGTCTGATTTTAATTCCTTGCTCAATCTCTGATCCTCATGACTTTGGACAAGTATTTCCATGTCTACTGACTCAATTTCCCTATACGGAAGACGGAGATAGTGATACCTACCTCCTTTTTTAAGTTCTTACATGCCTATAAAAAGCATGCTGTAAGAGCTGGGATCATTATGATGACTTTGCATTCAGAATCCTGTGCACACACTGAATGTCCAGTCCTGCAATCTGTTCCTCACACTCATAGCTTCTCAGTTGATTTTTTTTTTTTAAACAACGCCGCCGCTCTGCGGGGCATCCCTCCTAGCTGTACCGCGAGGTTATACAGTAACCGGGCACCCGGTTCTGTTACATCTGAGCTCGTTTACTCTTAGTCCTCTGGACCATAGCACATTTTAATGATCTTGATGCAGTGAAGCATTTAAACACAATTTAACTATAAACACAGGAATATCCCACTGATTTAAGAAGAGCTATGTGTATCACAGCAGCAAAGCACTGGATGCTACCTAGAAAAATGAAGAACAAATATTAAAGTCTGTACATCTAGCAGTATCTTAGTGAAATACACCTTATAAAAACCAGTCAAACAAAAGAATCCTCAAGTGTTTTACGGCCTTCATTTATTATTGACTGAAAAAAAATATTTTCAGCAGAGTAAGCATAGGACTGCTTCAAGTTTTTACTTTCTCTGCCAGACTACCGTTAGACATGCAGCTAAATGCAAATGTCCAGAGAAATTGTGCACGTGAAACACAAGTTAGGCAGATAGACTTCTCATTCGTTATTGCTAACTTAAGCACATCACTTCGTACACAGTGAAATATCCCATCATCAATCATCAGATTTCTTAATCCGATCCAACATCCAGAAAGGATGTGCTAAGATCTTGTTCAGCAGTTGTACAAAACTTTTCTGCAGTTTGGAGGTATTTGCAGTAAACAATAACAGATAGGTGTCAGAACTAATGACAAATTCCCTCTCTATGAGTGTGTGTAATACCGATTTAGGCCAACAAATACAAAATAAAAAAAAAAAAAAAAAAGATGTTCTGATGCCTAGATTTAGAGGAGTGTAGTTTCACATAGCTCCAATTTTAATGGCAGTTAACAGCGATCGACTTAGATATCAGTTGAGATACTGGCTTCAGGTGCTTAATTTTATTTTTTTTTAATGATGTTGTCTCCTGCTTGATACTGCCGTAGCAATTGAAATCATGATATATTAACCCAGTAAATCTCAGTTGATTGGTTTAATTTACTGAATATTCAAAATCTACTTGTCACATGGACGAGATAAAGGTTTTTCCCAGTTGTAAATGGTATGCCTGATTGCCAAAAATAACAGTTCACTTGATACGTAGGGCAGTTTCCATGCAAACACGGGGTACTGCTTTTGATCTTCAAGGTCTTTTCCAACCTAAACAAGTCTCTGATTCTATGATTTATCGTTTAAGTCACTGACATCAGATATGTAAAAGCTTGAAAAAAAATCATACATGGGACATGCTGAAGAAACACTTTCAGCAATGCGAAGTTCATTCCTTGCTATCGGTACTGTGGCATCCCTTCCCCACTTCAGCAGACTGCCTTGCATGTTTATTTTCTGCAGGTTCTCCATTTCTCCTGTTTTGAAAGATAATCACATCTGTAGTGTTCAGTTCTCCATCTTCCATTATAACCTATGTCTAATACTTGCTGTAATGTCTGCGCACCTCGGAGCGTTTTTCACGTTCATTCTCACAATATGCCTGTGGGGTAGGAAAGCGTTATTATCCCTGAAAATATTATTTTCCTGATGTCGCTGGTAGGGAAGTGAAGCACGGGGAGGGCTATGTGACTTGCCACAAGTCACAGGGGAATCAAAGCAGACTGAAATACCTGCCTAGGCAAACACTTTAATCGCTCTTTTCTTCTTAAAATAGAAACCGCTTTGGTTGCTATACAGGGAGCATATGACAGCACCACCCCAGGAGCTGCAAGATCCTGGTGTGACTCCGAAGCACTTTGGGGCAACGTTTTGGAGTAAGTGAGGAAGTCCCTGTGTCGCGACTCGGCAAAAGGATGGGTCAGAGCCCGACTGTCTCGGAGAGTCGCGTGAAACGACCCCTTGCCAAACCCCTCTGGGCCGCTATGACATTTTGCGGGTGCTGGAGTGGGGGGGGGGGGGCTCCCCGCTGGCAGAGGGGTAGCCATGCCAGCGTGGCTCCGAGCCCAGGCTCAGGGTCCTCTCGAGAAACGGGTCTGATCAGCTCAGGTGCTTGACGGTGCCAAGGCAGCAGCTGGGATCCCAGCCGGACTCCGTGCCTGTGCCGTGCCGTGCCTGCGCTCCGCCTGCGCTCTGCCTCGCCCGCGGCTCCGCCGCACGGGCAGGCCCGGGACCCCGCAGGGACCGCAGCCGCTCCTCGGTGGAAGGGTCATCGGTAAACGCGGTGGTGGTCGCGGGAACGCGGGGTATACGACAGCCGACAGGACATCACAGCGCGGACACCGCTCTATGGCCATGCAACACGGAGGGACAGAGCCGGGACAGACTCGCCGGCGGGCGCAGGGCGCTGCGCTCACTCACCAGTGCTGGATCAGGGCAGGGCAGGGCTGCCCGGCCGCCCCCTGCATCCCAGCGGCCGGCTGAGCCCCGCTCTTTAACGCGCCGCCGCCGCTACGGCAGCCGTTCGCGAAGCGTCCCGACCGCCCCTAGCGCACCCGGGGCGTCCGTCCGTCCGTCCGTCCGTCCGTGGCGCGGCGCGGCGCGGCGGCCCTCCGCCCGCCCGGCTGC